CCCCCCCCGGCTTCAAGCCTTGAGTCTTTCGCTATACATATAAGACCAATGGCAAGGACACTTTAATTTATGCAGAGTGGTGGAGGGGTAACAAATTTCAGCCATCACGCCAGCCCACATCACTACTGGCACTGGCTACACAGCTAGCCAAAATATTACTTTAAGTTATATTATAAATTAGGAAGTTTTAGTGATTTAAAAATGTGTTTGGTTTTAGTAACGGGACATTTAGGCGTCCTGAGAGACTTTTTTGAGGCACTGAGTACGATAGTGAAAAAAAACGGGACAATCCCGTTTTTACTGGACATTCGGTCACCCTACAGTAGGGACATATATTTGTTTAAAAATACACCTTCTCATTGTAATTTTATTTTAATGTGAAATATTTACTACTCATAAGCTTATGATGAGCCAAATTATTTCACTCAAATTCAATGAAACCAAAATACATGGCTCATTATGGGCTCAAGACAAAAATATTTCCATTTTACTTAAGAAGGATTTTGTTTTTGTTCTAAAAGCTCTCTGACCAATGCTCCCTGATTCAAAATATGTCATTGAAATGAGACTTGAGCCTATTATTCATAAATTAATTCATAGGTTAAGGCTACTATTAATATTTTAATATAGTAAATATCATCATTATTGAGTATCACAAATTTCAGGTGTCAAAGTTTTGATAAATTATATTAAAGTCATTCATTTGGAGCAAACAGCAGAATGAAATGTAAGAAAGGAACAGAAAATACTGCAACGTTTCTTGGGACTGAGAAAAATATATTGCTTAATCCAGTAGAATTGCATAAAAAACTAAACTAACATTTGCTATAAAAAAACAAAACAGAGTCAACTGAAGGAATGGAAAGTAAAAGAAAGCCAGGGCGACCACCTAAAAGGAAATTGATTTCTGATATTAACAAGACAACAGCCTCTGAGATATGTGAGAATCCTGTCAAATTCAGATCTGACTTTAATGCCAGAGACAGACTTAGTAATCATGATGTGAGTCCATCAATACCCATAGGTGACAAAACAGATAACAAATTTCCAAAATATCCATCAGCTCTAAAGAGACCTCATATAAAGAAGGCCAGTATGTCACAGTTTGAAGAGACGGAACAAATATTGGGAAAAGGTAAATTAACTGAACAATCAATACAAAACAGACAAGAAAGCTTTGCAACTCTTGAAGAATTGACTTGGGAGGAATACCAACAATCATTTGAGATAGAATCCAAAAAGTACACTAAAAAACCAAAAGTGACACGAAAGTTCTTGCCATTTGAAGATAATGAAAACTCACTTGTAGAGTTCCTTTCAGTACAGAATGGTATCAACAACAAGGAACCAGAGGAAATCACAGCAGAGATGATTCTAAATAAATGTGAGTTCATCTATGTCTTCTTTTGAATTTTGTTCAAAATATAAATTGCTTTAAAAATTATTTTGTATCTCTATGAAATAAATAATTGATGATACTATGATAATTTAAAAAATGTTAAGAAATCTCAAACACATTTAATTAATATTGTTTTCACTTCATCTTAATGTTTTTATCATTGAGGTCTAAATTATTTTATTTCAGCTTTTCATTAAAATAATTCTTTTACTTGTTCTGGTGACCAGCAATCTTTACAATGAACAAATGTCCTATGAAACCTGGAAACCTCCCCAGGCCAACATCAAGTGGTGATGACAAGTGGATCCCACCACGATCACCATACTTTCTCATTCAAGAACAACTTTTTCATGACCCATGGAAGATGCTGGTTGCTACAATATTACTTGAGCAGAATAAAGGTAATTTCATACAATATGATCCAGTGTTTCAAATATATATATTTTTTTTCAACAAATTAAAAATTAACAGATTGCATTCTACATAGTAAAGAAACATACATTTATTTCAAATATTGCTTAAATAATTAGAGTGTCAAATATGTGTCACTATAAATGAACATTTTAAATAATGACAAAGACTGTAAAAAGTATATTTTCCCAATTAATTTAACTTAGCAAGTAAAATTTATTAATATATTAATTTATAAAGGTCAAAAGATCATTCCAACAGTCTGGAAGCTTTTGAATCACTGGCCTACAGCTGAGAGATTACAATATGCAAAAGTGGATGATGTGGCTAAATGTTTACTACTGGGTGGATTGAATCATACGATTGCACAGACAATTATCAGATTCTCAAGTCAGTTTACAAAACAGTTTTTGTTTTTCTGAAAAATTATACTACTACTCATCAACAAATATTTTATATAGATTAATGTGAACGGTCTTGGAAATTTTACTTGTTTCTTACACCCATAGCTAATACTCATTATTTATGACATTAGCTAATGTTTAGCCAAACAGGTCACAAACGCAAAATCATTTTTGAAAATCTAAGCCATGGGTGGTTTTTTTTTAAATAATGAATGATCTATTTTGATTGAAGTAAAATCTTTCAGTGGTATATTCTTGTGCACGCTAAACAAAAAACTGAGCTGTGAAAACTGTGGTGTCACCCAACATCACCAATTCAATCCATGGGCTCTAAGATTATATAAATGTATTAAATACCAACATTTGATATTATGGTGTGTGTGATATGTTGGAGATTAAACCCTTTATTATTGCAGGCTTCTCTATAGAGAGGATGCAATTACTCTGAAATTATGGTCAAGCGGTATATGAATCAAAATGAAGGGAAATAAAAAATTTGATGTCATGTTTTCAGACTGCCTATAATAATTTTTTTGGTAAGATAATCAAGTGAAAGCTAATCAAGGTCAATGTCACAAGATTACTTTATGAACAAAAAATTCAAAAATTGTTTGTAAGAACTGCTTACATTGTGTGAAATTAATTGAATTTTGAATAACATACATATACACAGTTCTGGCACTTGTTTTCCCAATGCACCATAAAATAAATGCAATTAAAATTCAGCATTATAATTATATTTTAACGATTTTTTCATTATGGGTGCCTGAAGCAAAAACAAACTTAGTTTGTCACATAATTTGAATCAAAAGCATTTTCAGGTTCATCTAAGTTCATAAGAATAATGCCTGACAAAGTTTTTGAGCATAGATTCGTCCTCCAGCCTCCATGCTTATAAACAAATACTATTTGGTCATCAAATAGCTGTATCACCAATTTTTTAACTGTAATAAAACCCATGAGTGCCAATAATTTTCTGCTTCCAATCAATTTCCCTAATAATGTAAATGGGGGTTTAAAATTTTGGGTACATGGGCATCAACATTTCTGTCATGAAGATCAAGTCCCAAAACAAGCTTTGACACTTTGGGCACAGTGCACCTTTTGGCCTCAAGGTATCCAAGGGTTAAGAAATAGTTAAACGAATTATGAAGGAAATCCACATTGAATTGTTGTTTTTATTCCTGACATTCGCTATCAAACATAAAGCTTTTTCAGTTTAGTTATTTTTAACTACCCACTTTGATCACTGACTCACAAACTAAAAACAGTAATAAATCTGTTTCAATTGTTTCTTAAAAAATAATGATGTAACTAGTAGTTTTATTAAAATTTTATATAAAATTAAGTTTAATTTTAAGTGAAACTTTAAGTGAATATGAATAACATTGTCATGATCATTTAATGAAATATTCAATTTTTAGATGAATTTCTAATGAAGACTTGGACTTACCCTATTGAACTACATGGCATAGGAAATTATGGTAATGATTCTTACAGAATATTCTGTATAAATGAATGGAAACAGGTAAGACCTTATAAGCATTTATTATTATTGTTATTGTTCATCCTCTGCTTGCAAAGATGGCAAGGGCTGTAATCAACTTGAGAAGTAGCCTGTAGTAATTTGTTTTCAGGGAGGTAGAGTTGCTCATTTTATCAACCTCACTCTCTTGTCCTTTCCTATTTTCATACAATGGCAAGACTTGGTCAAGATGACTTGGAGATGGGCTAGGATGCAGTGGATGATCAGGAGTGGTTTTTGGGTCTCTTTGTGCTCTTTATGCCATCCAAGGTTAATGAGTCCCATACATCCATATTATTATTATCATTATGAATGGCTGTATTTATCTGGCACTGTGGTTTGGACAACCAAGAGAAGGAAAAAACCCAGACAAGTCAAACAACCCAGACAATTCAAACAACCCAGTCACATAAAAAAAAACGTAATCACAATTAAACAACACACAGTAACTCCAAAAGGATGTTACTCATTAAACCTATGATGGCGACTCATCTGAAAGAAGGCAAACACTGATTGCAAAACTCAGCTGACTTGCAACAACAAAGGAGATGGTCGCAACATAAAAGTCTGCATATGACATTGAATGGAATCAATTTAACTCGTGTGACATCATTTGTGCCAAGCTGATAACTCCCTGTGACATCCCTGGTGCCAACTGACCTGTAACATCATTGGTGCTATTCTGATAACTCCCTGTGACATCATTGGTGCCAGGCTGATAACTCCCTGTGACACCCTGTGTGCTGAGCTGATAACTCCTTGTGACATCCATGGTTCCAAGCTGTATCATTCAGTTTATGTTTCCTTGGGTTCTCCAACAACAACATCAACCTAAATTTTGCCCAGCAAAAGCCAGACTATTGGGTGGAGGCCAAACAATAATTTTAAAAATAATAACTTCATGATTCATATGAAACTGTGTACCAATTCTGGTCTTTATGACTTCTTATCTTACAACTACTGCAGTTGTTGATACATTGTTATAATAAATGTCCAATCAAGCTAAGTCTATGTTGCTTTAAATCAATTGTTTCCCATTTAAATCTTCAGGTTCATCCAGCTGATTGCAAACTACAAACTTATCTCAAGTGGCTGCTAACCAACTCCCTGCATTTTGGGTTAAACTGAGGCCATTGTTAATACAAGTGCTGTAAGGGATCTTATAGATTGTGTGCTGTAATGCATCTTATAGATTGTGTGCTGTAATGCATCTTATAGATTGTGTGCTGTAATGCATCTTATAGATTGTGTGCTGTAATGCATCTTATAGATTGTGTGCTGTAATGCATCTTATAGATTGTGTGCTGTAATGCATCTTTTAGATTCTGTGCTTCTTTAAAAAATCTTCCTACTTGTTACATTCCTACAGTGTATTTGTTGTAATAGTAATTAAATACAGCTAATGACAGAGTTAATTTAAAGCATCCATTTTTCCTCTGGCATAGGGGACATTGCTGTTATTGAATTATAAGATCCTAGGCCAAAAGTGGGTGTTGAGAGATACATTACTATTAAAACTGTAAATTTAGTTTCTTTACACCAGGCTGGCTATAATGGACATAACTCAGTCTCATACTTCTTTGTTATGATGTGATTGTTATAATTTTGTTTAGTTTTATGTTACTTTAAAAATAAGTTTTATTGGATTCAAAGTAGTCTGTACAACTAAGAGATTTGTTGTTGTTGATTATTTTGTTTTAAAACATAGAATTGTAGTTGATTACTTTGTTTTAAATCATAGAATTGTAGTTGATTACTTTGTTTTAAATCATAGAATTGTTGATTACTTTGTTTTAAATCATAGAATTGTAGTTGATTACTTTGTTTTAAATCATTTTTTTTTTTAAACAATTCAGATTGTAATCACAATTTCATTGCACTGAGTCTCAGATTTTCATTTCATTGATCCTTTTTTTTTTTGTACAAACTACCTCAGGTTACTTGATTGAAAATCTACCAATCAGATGTTTCAATACTCATTCTTCATAAGCAATGAACCAAAAAGAAATATAATCAATTTTATACTTTTTAATATGTTTGTTCAATATGTTTCTGATTTTTTTAAAAGTTTTCTGAACATGACTTTTGAGCATGTTTTTACATTGCAAGCTCTTACGTTTCTATAAAGTTTTGTCTTTGCAGCATGCCCTCACATAAACCTGGCCAGAGCCATTATCATGTTGGACAAGCAACATCACATGGTCTAATGGCTTCCTGACCTCTTTTAAAGGCATGCTTTTATTTATTATGTCCCTTTGTTTTATTTGTAACAGTTATTAAAGATTTTTCCGTTGACAATTTTTTGTTTTACTTTTATATTTAGCAAAATAATAAACTATAAATTAATCGAATCAGGCGTATGTTCTTTATGGTCTTTCCAATGTATTAAAAAACTACATACAGTAGTCTAAAAAGAGCTACAACCAGGGGTTTGGATTGGAGCAAAGTATTTTCCCCTGGAGCTGGTGCTGGTACAATTTCTAGGTCTTACTGCTCTGAGCTACATATTTTGATAAATTAGTTGTTGTTTTTTTTTAAAAGTATAATTGTCTTTTTAATTTTTAAAAATTAATTTGTTCAAATTGATGCCCCATTCTACCATCTATGTTGCCCTCTCCCCCCTCCCCCCACCACTCTTTTGCCAGCTATATTTCCCCACCCTTTTACAGCTATTGTTGCCCCACTCTTCTACAGCTACATTGCTGGTACGTTGACTTCTAATGCCTAGTTAAGGAAACGGGCTATTGATAAAAATAAACACATTTTTTTTAAACACTTATTAACCCAACCACCCCTCCCCTTTTTTTAATTTTGCTGCCCTAGAGCAGAGCTGGAGCTTATAAAAATTTGTCTGGAGTGGAGATACCCCCCAAAAAAGTCTGCTATAAATCTCTGGTTACTATCCTTATAAATATAAGAACAGGATGTAAATAATGTAATATTTTAATTACTTTCACATTACCCAACCTTAATACAATCTGCAGCCAATAGTGCAGCATTTATGTAACAATTGCACTGCTGTCCCATAACCAGTAACTTTTAATACAAGTAAAACTGGAAATGTATTTCCTTACCCTTTGACTGTTTTACAGTCACCATTCAGTCTGTAGGCCTACTGTTGGAGTAAGTCAAGTGATTGAGTGGTAATATGAATGTGCAGTATTTAGGCCTACTCTTGGATAAGTGAAGGGATTGTGTGATAATATGAATGCACAATATGTAGGCCTACTCTTGGATGAGTGAAGTGATCGTTTGGTTACCGGGTATATGAATTTACAGTATGCAGGCCTACTCTTGAAATGTTATGTAAGCCTAGTGTTGCAGTATGTGAACTGATTGCTTGGTAATATCTCATTATCAACCAAGTTCACCATCTGTTGCCAGCTGAACCCTAGTTATGATAGACTGATAGACACAGCAAGTAATGGTCTTGACCAATACAACAGATTGGTACAGGTTTTCATAACTTATATAGGTCTACTCCCATAGGGATGTGTGTTGTTGTTTTGAGTCATTGGTTGAATAATAATGTGTATATTTCTTAAGGGAATTCAAATAAGAATAACGACTTAAGCTGGTTTAAATTCTTAGTACCATAACTGTGCTTTGAAATAACCCTTGAAGTAATGCTAAAAATAGCCAGTTTTCATTGCTTATTCTGAGATCATTGCCAACTCATCTCAATGAGAAAAATACTGAGAAGAGATTTTATCATTGGTTTAAAGAGTATTCATTGTCATCAAATACTTTAAATATCCATCAGTTATCAAGTGTACATCTTTGGTCTTATTCAAACATATTCAATGTACATAATTATTTGCTATATATGTCCATGGGCGCCCGCAGGGGGGGGGGGCACTTGCCCCCCTGGATTGATTGGATAAAAAAATTTTAGACAAAAAATTTATTAAAGTAAAGAGAAAATAAAGAGAAAGTAACTAAGCTGATGTTCTGTCCGTTCGTTCACCATACAAATACGCTACAGTAAATTAAAACTACATTAAAACATTACTAAAAAAAAAATTTGCCCCCCCCCTTAGAAAGTTAATCGATTTTTTTGCCCCCCCCCCTTTACAAAGTTTTCTGTGGGCGCCCATGTATGTCTGTATTTTTTCTTAATGTCTTTCTTTTCCCAAATCCTTACTAGTTTCTCTATTACTTTGTAAAAACATCATTGAAATGCAAGAACGGCGTGAACAAAAGGTAGGGTCGACTAATTTCTATTCTACTACCAGCTCTAACTAATGAGGCTAATAAACAAAGAAAAATGGCCCCGTCAAAACAAATGCGATTAAAATGAGAATTAGAGCAGGGGTGGCCAACATGAGGCCCTGCTGAAAAGGTTGGCCACCCTGAACTAGAGTATATTAAACGTTGCTCATGGGAAGGGGGATTGATCGCATCCCCCCCCCCCCCCCTGAAGTCTTCAAAAAGTAAAAAAAGGTAGGCTACTACTTTATCCTTAACGTTTGCCCCTCTGTCTGAGTTGGGAAACAATTCATTTTCCCCAGGACACCGGAGACGCCAACAAGGTAACATTGTACAAAAACTGACCCACTACATCTAGCCAGAGGCTCGGTGTTGTTTCCCGTGCGCTCGTTGTTCAACTACAGGCGCGACTCTCTCGTTGCGCAAGTTGCAGGAGAGTGTCGTGAACAGCATATGCCTCTTTACATTGCTTTCATAGATCTGACCAAGGCAATCGACTTAGTCTACAGAAAACAAATGTCATGATGCAAGAAGCACAATCTCCTCCAAACATAATAATTGAGGGTCATAGTACGCCAGTGAAGAGTGAGCTACATATGTCATCCATTAGCGAAAAGTCAGCAGCTTCTACCAAAGATATATCTGCGTCGCATCAGAGCCGTTCTTAGGAGTTTGTGGGCCCTAAGCATGGAGCGTAGGTTGGGGGCCCCAGAAGGGGGATCCGGGGGTGGAGCTCCCTCGAGCTGAGGAGAAAAACCACCCACCACTGCAGCACCTCCATTCTGCCAAATTTCCTGTCTGGCACCCCAAAGCTCCCCCCTGCTGCTTCCCTTCCCCTGCCTCCGATTTCAACTCAGAATGATAAATATCAGGATGAGGAAGGTAACGTAAGTGACACAGACGGCTGCAGTGCCAGTTAAAAAAAAAAACGGGGTATCGAGGGTGCCTCACGGGGGCCCCCTCACGTTCGGGGCCCTACGCGGATGCGTAGTCAGCGTATGCCTAAGAACGGGCCTGGTCGCATTCTGCGTATTCGATGGCAGGACAAAGGAACAGCAAGTGTATGAGAGAATCAAACAGGCAGCAGATGTGCGAAACAAAGCTCTTGCATCAAAAAGAGCATTATGGAAGACCAAAATTAATCAGAAGTCAAGGTTCTCCTGTGAGAATTGTAGCCGAGACTGTCATTTCAGGATCGGCCTCATATTCCCTTTGATGAAGTGTCATTAGGCTATCCCATTGTCTCACGAAGATGAAAGAGTGGCATAGAAAAACTCTGAATTTTAAACCCGAGTATGAGTCCCGTAGGCGGTATGCAATTGGAGAACAATGATGTTTCCAGCAACTCCTTCGACGTTACTGGTGCCAAGGTGTATCAGCCACATAGGATGTTCCCTTTGGATTATACAGATGCGTGGAGAGAGGTGATCTCATTTCTATGGAACCGGCTCGTCCGTCTAAAGAAAAATATTCCAGTCCTTGTGATTTCGTCCGGCGAAGTCTACACCATCGTCATATCGTGACGGACGTTTGTCAGAAGAAAAAACAATTATTTATATAGTAAACTATTGAATTGCAAATGAGAACAATTTTGGGGAATTCCAAACACATCTTTTTGTTTGCGACAACAAACACTGTGTGAGAAGGAGTTGCATATTTCATTCTTGTCTAAAAATGCTTAGTTATGTGTTCGTGTGTGTGCTTTGGTTCACATGGCAGACACAGTCATCAAAGAGTTGGTATGTTAGTTGGTTTTTTTATTGTTTGGTTGGTTGTTGTTGTTTTTTTTTTTTTGTTTTTTTTTTTTTTTTTTTTTTTTTTTTTGGGGGGGGGGGGCTGTTCGAATCAGTCTACTCTCAAACCTGCTGTTGTTGTTTTGGTCTCATCAGTAGGCTTACGGTCTACTTTCAAACCTGCGGGCGGCCTACGGACTGGCGTGCTTTCCCTTCGACCATCAACTATTGTAATAGCTAATACATCAGAGATATTTAAGCACTATTTCACTGGCAGCTAAACATACGAGAGAGGTATACCAGGAGCAATTTCTTATGCAAGCACAATCAAGTTATTGAGACATTAAATCCATATCTACTATATATTGGTTTCCATGGGTCAAAGCATTTTTAACTGTTAAGTCTAGTTTCAGTCACTGGAGTTATAAGAGTCAAATTGTAGGTTGTTTGTTTTTTTTGGTTTTTTTTTTGTTTTGTTTCTTTTTGTGGGGGCCGCATTTTTGGTCGATAGCAACGAACGGTAAAATGTTGCTAGTTAGTTTGATAGTAGAAGGTCACAAGGCACAGACAAATATTTTTGTTTTCCACTAAAATATTGCACACTGTATTATTAGGTTACCAGAAATTTGTTTGAGAGAAAATTTCGTCGATGGAAAATTGAACGACGCAAAATTGAACGGCTGAAATTTGGTCAAATCTTTTTTTCAGCTCACACGTTAACATTTGGGTCAATTTTCTTTTTGAACACACTACACTTTATAGTAAAACAAAATAATTGTTTCTCTTGGGTTACATAATTCCAAACTAAATTGTCTTACTACAGGTCGTTTCCCTTGGGTTACAGTCTCACTATAGGCCTACATTGATTCCTCTGGATTACGAAATTCGAAGCTGAATAGAATTAGCATGACGATGTGTCGTTGTTCCTAATCATGTGCGTTAGTTTGTCTTTACATTGTTGTGTTTTGTTTACCAGACGTCCCCACCAATGTTCCCTTTAAGCTGCGTGGCCGCGAAGCTATCTCACAGACACTGCGCAGCAGTTTTGAGTATCCGCGCAGCAAATTTCCATTTTAAGTGTGTGCTTGTGTTTGTGGGCTGTAAAATGCTGCACACAAAAAATTTGATGCTGTAAAACTTTGCACACAACTGTAACTGTATGATTTTGCACACGAACCAGCAAACCTTAGAGGGAACATTGGTCCCCACACTGAGGGGTGGACTGGGGCCTTCAAGCGGCCCGGGAAAAAAAAAAGCGGCCCTATCTTCAAGACTTTTATTTTTATTATATCACCGGTGCTGGCGGCCCATCGGGAATCTTCCCGGTGTCCCGGCGGCCCAGTCCACCCCTGCCCACACTTGAATTTTATGAGATTATAGAACTTTTGGTACTCCGTTTGTTGATGTAATCTCCGCCTCTTTAGAAATGTACTCTATAAAAAAATATGTTATATTATTTTTATTTTATTTTTTTTATTTTTAGAATGGATGTTTATTTTATAAATGTGATTTTTTTTTCTTCTTTTTTTTTTCAAAATTTGAAGCTTTTGCTTAGCTTTTACTTTTATTCTTTTGAATATTAAATGAAAGAATATGTTTTTTAGTTTCATTTGCTTCAGAGACTTCAAAGTCTCTTCTGCCATGATAGATAATTCATTGATATATCATAAACGGTTGCACTAAAAACTTCTATTTTTTGTTTTTAAATTTTTATTTAAACCCATTGAAAATGAAAGTGATTGTCTTAGTCATGATTATCTTAGAGTAATGCGAAATATTTATTTCATAAGAGATTTTTGGGGTTTTATGAGCCACGGAGCAACGTTTAAGAACGTCGTGATTGGATGGATATAAATATAAGACATTTATTATTGTTATGATTAGTTCTTGACTTAAAGTAAATGTTACGAAAGAAGCTACTTTAACTAGTAGGCCTAAAGTCTTCTACTTCGCTTGTTATGAAACATCTGTGCTACAACTGATATGCTGCGTCATGCTCTTCGTTTAAAACCGTTCAATCGGAATTTGATTACTTTGTATCATAATTGTAGCAGACAAAAACATTTGAAATTGATTAATGTGAATACTCAGATTACGCATAGTCTGCATTGTCGTTTATTTACTAGTTTGAATTGTGGATCCAATCTTCTGAGTTTTAAAAAAATGGGAGATACTCAGTCTGGTATGCTTTCATTAATTTACAACATATACTTTCGCTTGTAATACTCAAAACTAGTAGAGGAGTAGTGACTAGTATCACTCAAACTCAAATCATTGTCTGTGACTGTGGGATTTTTTTCCAATCAGAATGCGACTCATCTCTCCGTCTAGTACTTAGTCTAAGTCTATGTATATACTGTGATCAGTGACTACATTTTGACTTCAACTACAATATTAGCATTATGATTATACTTATTATTATCATTTTATTAGGCTTAGGAAATAAAATTTTTGTTTCAGATGACAAATGTTTTACATCTTCAAAATTGTTTCTTAAATATTTTTAATATAAAAGTTAAAATTGTGGCTGTGGAGCTAAAAATTATAATGGCCATGGCATAGTGAATGATAGTGTAAGAGTAAGACACTTATTCTTAGTTTAGACAGTCAGTCTGTAAGAGTAGTAAGACTAAATCTCTATCAACTAGCCTAGCCTATATAAATCTATGTTATATTATGCAAAATCCTTTAATTAGCATTAGTGTATTGTAAGGTATTCTCATCTGTGGTCTATTTCTCATGGGTGGTCTATTTCTCATGCCTCGATCATAAAAGTTACAAGCAAACAAGAAAAATATCATCCTATATAACTATATGATATATTAATATACAGAAGGATTTGAATTCAGAGTTTGCCTTCTCTTAGTCTTAGAAGGGTGCCATCCAAGGTTAACGAGTGCCATCCACCAGAGGTTCTGGTCTGGTGTATTTGTGCCTGTTTTAAAGTTCTGTGGCACACCATTCATAGAAGTCATTAAAAAAATTATAGAGACTGTTCTGGTGAAGAGCAGCCTCCAACCAAATTAATACTGTAGGGTGGGCAACAATCTTTCATAAGATTTGTACTACCCAGTATATTACTTTAGCTAATTTAGGTCCCATCTTACTTTGTTTTTAAAATACTTTTAAAAAAACCTTTGATGTTTTATCTTTATATACGGTACAAACATTTGTGACTACTTTTATTTAATTTAAAATTTGGGTAAATGCAGACAATTGGTGCCATGATGTATCACATGGCTGCCAACTTGGTTGCCACAACCTGTGAACTTTTATAATTTACTGTCACTAACTTAACATGAACCCTAAATGTATCCCTAATTCTAACCTGAACCCTAAATATATCCCTAATTCTAACCTGAACCCTAAATGTATCCCTAATGGCACCAATCCTCCGCATTAGCCAAAATTTGTATTGAAAAGAAAGTAATTTTTTGGTCATTTTGTTTCCTGCATTTATTGAAATGGAATTATATCCAAATTCTTTTGCAGTTATATAACCTTTATGGTTGAGATTAGGACACTAAATTGTGTAATAAAGAATTAAAATTATCCAACAAAAGTCCAACAAAGGCAATGTCAAAGACAGGTTTAGTTTACTGTGCACTTTTACTGCCCACCATATTTTATTTAGGCCTAGCCGACACAACTGGAATAGAGCGCCCAGGAAAAATAATGTTATCAGATGAAGAATGGAAAGCTAAATTAACAAAGCAGCAATACAATGTGTGCAGGAGACATGGAACAGAAAAGGTTTGATAATTAAGTACCTCTACTGAATATAAGTTAAATTAGTATTAAACTAAATGATTCTATACTAATATTTATTTTATGTTTTGGTGTCTAACAATTCGCTTAGAGTAAATATTTTATAATTTTGTTTCTCTTTACCTACCAGTTAAATTAAGCGCTTAAAGCTGTTTGGTAACAGAAAAAGTATTTAAATATTCTCAGGCCTGGACAGGAGAGCTTCTAGAGAACAAGGACAAGGGCATTTATACATGTGCTTGTTGTGGTACCGAGATTTTTAGGTATGCCATATAATTTTATGCCTACACTTAAAATGTTTAAAGGAATTAGAGATACCAGTACCATTGACCTTTTAACAATATTGACTTCTTATCTAACTCGGCACTTCCTCTGCCAGTAGGTAAACTCTATTCCAGGTCATTTTGGTTAAGTAATACTTTTGAACAATATTAACTTCTTATCTAACTCAGCACTTTTATTCCAAGTTGGCAAATCCTATTCCAGATCATGTTGTTTAAGTAGAATTAGTAGTAAAATATTTCATTATTAATTAATTTTTAAGAAATGCATATTTAAATTTATCATGTATCAGCTCTTCAACAAAATTTGATTCTGGCTCTGGATGGCCATCTTTCTTTGATGTACTGAAAGATAAAGATGTTTCAGATTTACCAGCAGTAGACTTAAGATCTGATGAGAGCAGTGGCATGGTGCGTACAGAGGTCTTATGTGGCAAGGTGAGAAATATGTTACCTCTGTGATGTTATATCAAATTTGTAAATCAGAAATTTTATAAATAGTTGGCACCAACATGTTTTTTGTTAAATTCTGAATTTATAGACTAATTCATTACAAACATTTTTCTATTTATAAAACAAATTTCAAGTCTGAAAAATTAAGTTTTTTTTAAAGTCATTTTTCCAATCCTCAAGGATTGTGCATAAATATTTCACATTTGTATGGTAATTGCTTTGGTACAGTGTATTTATGTATTATGAGTATTTATTTTTTTAACTGACTGTTTATTAGTATTAGCACATTTACAAACACCAATTATTTTATATCTTTTTTTCTACAGTGTGATGCTCATCTTGGCCATGTATTTAATGACGGTCCCAGGCCAACAGGATTGCGCTACTGCATAAATAGTGTTTGTTTAAAATTTAAGCCAGGTGCGACTGATAAGGTGAAACCTGAATTATAACCAGGCTTTAGACTTTCTTGTCTTTCCAAATTGTAGAAAATCAGAATTTTTGTAATATATAATTTTTCATCAATTTAATATCTGTCTGATATAATAGAGGGGATACTCCTCATTTTTTTCTATATCTGATGCTTAACTTTGATTTGCTTTCATCAATTTTAAATATTTATTCTATTATATGGTGAATTTCTATTATATGGTGAATACAAATTAATAAATAGCTTGTAAAAGTATTACTATAGTTGGGCCACTTGCAGTCCAACAAATATTTAATATACAAATCCTCCTTAAAAAATATTTTCCTCCATCCTGTATTATGTTAACAATACTCAAGAAAACTTTGCTAACATGATTATATTGAGGCCAAGCAAAATATTTCAATAATGCATAAATAGTGATGTTCCATTACATGAATTGCTTGCTTAATAAACAGGTGCAAACAAAAACTGTTTATATTGTTGTCTGGTAGGTTAAGTTAATTTCATTTTCCCTCAGAGAATACTCCATCAGGATTTTAAAATAATTATCTCTATAATCATTTTCATTCTAACTATTGACACTACTAACTTATCACTCTTTGAAAAGAAAAAATTATCAATTTTTAACAGAAGTAACTATTAGTGGGGACTGGTACAATTAGAGGTATAAGCTAACAACCCCCAAATTATAAGAAGCTTTAGTGAAAGTGAAAGTATACTACCAGACTGTCTTAAAACAATTAAATTACAACAGTAAACAATATTTGAAATTACTACAGAGATGAGGTGTTTGTTTGCTTTAATCAACTGTGAATCATTTTATAGGTATCACACATCCAGTTCATGATTTAAAAAATGCAGTAATATTAATTATAATTAAATTTCTTAAATCTAAGTTTCAAAAACTTATAAAAGCAATTTTATGTGTATTGTGGCAAAAATAATCAGTTCAAATGGCAATGTGTCATGCAAACTCTACCGAGACTCAGCATTCATACTGATTGGAGGACATAACAAAATGAGGACACATAGTAACATATCCAGTTGGTAACTCTAGATGTTGATAACTCTGCTTAACTTCTGCACACGATTTAAAAGAATGTCGCCTTGCTTGATGCAATTCTGCAAAAGTAGAAATAAAATTATTACCGTATAGCATTAGATTGTATCAAAGCAATTACATTGGAACATAGCTCTAAAGTATGGATCCTAGGCCTGAAGTGTTCCCTTTATAAGCTTTGTTATTGATATTGCAGTCATTGTTACACACCTGATATTGCCAGTTTTTGCTGTCTGGTCTGTTCGTCTCAACTATGCCACCAACTTTGTCAATTTTGCAATGAAGACGTCCGGCAGCAATAAATCTTGATAACTCCCTAAATAAATGAAAATAGTATTTATTTAATCAGAATGAGACTGATACAAAATGCTTATTTAAAGCAACACAAGCTACAGTAACAATATTTTGATTTTATTCATAAAATAGAATGAGCAGCAATTTTCTGAGTTCACTAATTTAAATCGTTAATTATATAGCCAAATGAAACTCACTGATCAATGAAAGCTATGGTCACTCCAAACGACTTTGCCATATAATTAAGTGTGAGGCTTCGATAAGATTCCAGCAGCTGAGCATAAGCCATGATACGCATTTCACGTACATAGTACGAATAGTGTGATGAGAGTAAGCGGTCATATTTCATAATGTCCTCTACCTGACCTGTATTAATACATAATTATAGTAGTGATTGTTGAAAGTTGTAATATTCATTTACATTGAGTTCAATCTTTTAAAACCAAATTCACTCATATATACTCTTATAAAGATGATAAAATGTACATAAGTTAAAACACATATTTTTAAAACCGAGTGCTCAATGCATTCCAATGGGGTTCTTTTTCCACTTGTCACTGTTATAAATAATGCAAGAGGCACTGCAGATTCATTTAGTCACATTATTGTTCAGACGTTTACAATATCCAAAGAAGAATAAATCTGTATGTGAGTTCACAGAAAATGCAATGTAATAAAATACACACTGTAAATCTTGAATATTTTATTCTCACTTCACTGATTTGAAATTTATCACATTTTCACATAAATCATTCAACTCTTGTATAATCCCAAATTTCATCTCGGCTCTTTTTCTCAAAGTCAATACCTCCTCACTCATGTGACCAAATCAAGCACGCTGATTGGCCAGTCTTAAGAGTCTTATTCATCACAATTCACCATGCTATGATGCACTGGGAATTCAGGGTTTTAACTGTTATCAATCTCTTATCAGTGGTTCTCACATTAATAATAATATCGGTGACACCACTGCACATTATACTTCACTGATTACCAATAATGCTTCTAATATTTCATCTACATACACATACTGGTTGCACATTAAACACATTATCTTGAAACCTTAGAAAAGCAATTTTAAATATAACATGACAGGTTTTAACTGAGTCAATATACTAGTAGAAATGAAACATGAACTTACCCAATGCTAGGAAAAAATCTGCATATTGACAATCATACAACGAAAAGAGAAACTTGCGGATGTTTTGTAAACTGTGGAGAACTTCTAAAATCTCTGAACCCTTGACCACCTGAAAATAGTTATATAAAACTGAAGTATGGCCCTAATAAGATAACCAGAAAAAAATCTTCTTTCATGCTAAACTAATAATAAAAAACATAAAACATTCATTCTTAAAATCATGCTAATTAAGACATAGTGTTCAGGGACACCAGAGTGTGAGTTCAATTAAAAAAATCCAATATTACATTTCAAGCCGGCATTTTTAAAAAAAAACGGTACTGAAACTGTACTTTTTCATTGTTTAAGGTGGCACATACAGTGTTAAACAAAATAAATATATACAGCTATACATTGCATTACAAATGCACATGGTGGTACATAGAGCTTAGCCAGTGATTTAAACGGTTCAACATTTCAACTACTGTCTTCATCCATGGGCTCATCACTTTGTTCAATCATTGTTTTTAAAGACAGGAAAAAGTAAATTGACATACCCCGGTATTAATATTAATCTTAAAAAAGACCACAAAATTTTTTTTTGTTGCTTCCATACTTTTTCTCTGAGTTCAGGGCGCTCAAGAGCAATCATGCAACAAAGGACAGTGTAGGTGACAAACTGCTGATAATCCATCAGCTCATAGGAGGTGAAAGTTGCAATGGTGTCCAGGAACAGAGTAGCAGCTGATTTGAAATCTCTTATGGACATGTTGTACAACCCCCTGTAGACCTTCAGCCTGTTTCTTCTGTCCCAGTCTCCCCCTTCATCAATCAAACTGAAATTTAGCAGAGAAACATGAAAATGTGCCAGAAAATTTATTTACTAAGCATAAAAATTACTTTTTTTACCTTCAAAAATGACAAACAAAATACTGGCATCGTAAAATTAACTTGTGGTGCAATAGAACTATAAATTAAAACAATATCAAAATGTTGAAAATCATATTGCCTTAAAGAATTTGTTTTTTACTATTAGCTTGAATAATTTTGTTAAAGTGATGCTCAGAAAAAGCCTTCCCCTATTCACCTCTGAGCTTTTTCCAGATTCTTTGTAATGAGATCATGATCATTGTAGAAAATGCCTATTCTTATCAAATGGAAGACAATATCTAAGCGGTAACCAAGAGCTACAGTCTTGTCATAGGTTTTCCTAAATTCTGTAAGAGCATTGGCCTGTGGATCGAAGAAATAAAATTTAAAAAAAAAGAAAATGGTAAGTGTCTATCAAACACATAAAGTTTGAGAAGCCATGTTGTTTTTGCTGTGTCTGTTAAATATATCCATAAAGTCGCTGTCTCCTCATAATAGAAATTAAAGAATTTGTTAGTGATATAATTATTTCCCATTTTATATTATTTGGAATCAATTTATTAAATTATCTAAGCCTGACTTGTATTTATCTACCTTATCTCCAATTGAACATAGATATTCAGCTTTAGCTAACATGGAGTCCCTGATTTCTGTTTCACCCAAACTTTTCTCAGCATCTTTAATTGCTTCATCTAACTGTTTGACTCTTGCTTCATTAGCTTCCTTCATGGTAGTCAAAAGTTTTTCATCCTTTTTCCAACCCAAATCTTGAACAATTTCTTCATAGAATGGCGCCATATCTGGAAATATAACACATTTTCAATTTGATATATAAAAAATAAATTTAAAAAACATATTTTTCTTGTAGTTTAACAATAAACATGCAGTTAAATAAGAGGACAATGGATCAAAATGTAAATATGGCTATAGTGGTCTTATTTAATGGATGAAAAGAATTAATTTTCAATTAATAAAAAACATCAAAAACAATAATAACATTTATTTTCAACAAAATAATGTAGTTTCTCCTTCTCATGCTAAGATGACCAAGGCTGTATTCAACGGTAAGTACGCAGGTGGCTTGCCAGTTCTATTGTGCCTTTAAAGCTTTCCCACAAGTAGGATACATATGTTTTATGATTGTGCTTTTTCTTGCTGTGTGCTTTCTTCGGGTGTGAGCCTGGCAATTACTCTCTGAGAATTGTGCTCGAACAGTGAGTCTGAATTGCCAGCTTGTGTGATCCATAGTAAGTGTTTCTCACGAACTCAAGTCAATATTCATGGATTTTTGCCAGAAAAGATTTGTTATTTCTGAAGCACTTTTTTAACTTCCTTTTCCAGTGAGGTAAACAAAACGGATTGCAAAAGGATGCTATACAAAACGTTACTTCAATTTCAATAAACTGTATGGTTACACCTTCTAAATCTAATAATACTATTATTAATAGGAAACAATTTTTTTTAAAGCAGAACCTACAGGTAGTACTAGTACAGAGTCAAAAACATCTTATTCCATAACCAGTTAATAAACAGCATTTTTATCTATGCATGTGATTTATTTACCAATTACCAATGCCGCAAATGGTTGTTTAGGAGTATTATGAGAGAATTTTTCTTTTGTAAGTTGAATTTTAATTAAAAGTAATGGAAAATTTCATTTGTACATATTGCATATAAACTTTATTGATCTACAGATTTAGGTTGTGTTATAAATTTTACATTATGTATCATAAGAACTGATCAAACAATACGAAATGTTTTATATCCAATCATGAAGTTCCTAAACATTTTTCTGTGGCTCATAAAACTGATAAACTTTCCTCAAATAAATATTTTGCATTACCGGTACTCTAAAATAATAATTACTTAGACTACTCCTTTCAATTCCAATGGGCAAAAAATGTTAGAAAACTTATTTGTTTTAGAGATTCATCATATATACTAAAATATTAGCATCATCAGTGGTGCCATAGCCCATATAGGGCACTGGGCCTGCTCTACCACATCCTTGTTAATAAATATAGATTAAAAGAATATAATAAGCAAACTAAAAGGCTTTAAAACTTGAAAAAGAGAAATTTCTTAAAAAATAAATCCATTTAAAGGATTAAACAAAGAAATATATCGGATAAAAAAAATGTATATACCGGAAGAGAACAATGCTAGAGAGCAAACTTTGCAGCAACAAACAGAGAACCAAAAGATCTATAACTCCATGAAGGAAGGGAAATTATCATACTCTTTGATTATGACCAATATTCACCTTATGTCAATAGTTGGGATTCCAAAGGTGAAGTCAAAATATGTACCCCTGACTACACCTTTACCAGACCACTGTGTGTAGGATAATCTCTAATTTAAGCGCCATTGAACATTTTTTAATTAAATATTCCATATTTACCAGATGGAACTAGATTAAAACAATTCAATAGTTAATAGAACACATATTTATTGTTTTCCAATTAGTTTGTAACAGTTTTATATTTTAATTGAGTTTTAAAGCTATTAAAGGGATTTTAATTTATGAGTCCTCCTTGTATACCACAATGGCACCATGAATAACAAAAGATACATAGAGGTGTACTTTTATGTTCTCATACAATTTGTTTAATAGTTTTTGTTTTGGGACAAAAGGAAAATATTTGACTTATAAAATCTTTTAATAATGACTTCACTTTTAATAATGAAAATAAGTTGATAATTCATTAAAAAAAAAAGCTTTTCCATTTGCAATGAGCTTATGACGCTTAAATAAGAGGGTAATCTACTTCAACGTTGGCTTTTCAAAAATCATGTTATCTGGTTTGAAGTGGTATTTTACCAGCTATTTTTTTTTTTTATAAGATAAATTCTTTAATTGATCCTAATAATTGGGAATGTTTTTTTATGACATTGTACATATTAATTTCAGCACATATGTAAATATTCCAAGAAAATTTTTTAAAAACATTTCATGTATGAAAAGAATATAATACGTAAGCAAACAAAGTTTGGGTTTATGCACAGATTTACCCCCGGGCAACAATGGAGGGAATACAAAGTCATATGAGTACAGCTGGCATTAAACTGTCTTTTCCATTTTGCATATTTTCTACATTCTGTGCGTGAACTCCAGTGACAGCGTTATTTGGATCAACAAAGTTTTGTTGATGGGCCACAACAGGGTGCTGGTAGATTTCCAATGACACCATAAACCCAGCGGCCCTCTCTCCACTGTCCATGGTGGTATTTCCAGTAAAATAAATAGCACTTCAGTCCCAAAAAACACTATTTTTGAAGGCTGAAGTGGTAGATTACCAATAAGAGATTACCCTATGTATTGTAATGAGTAAGTGTAAATTAGTTAGCAGAATATCAGCATAAAGTAACAAGACTAATGGAGTAACAATAACAGCTCTAATTTATCCAAACAATGGTAATCATGGAGTTCAGCATCCCTAATTATATTTTGAGAGTCCTACATTCTATAAACATTTTTTTAAAGTTTTTGGCAATCGTTCACACAGGATAGTTCTCTGTAACCGCTGTCAGAAATCTAGCAAAAACGATCCAATCACGTATTTCTTTCTGAACATGAACTCGTGTAGATATGAATGAAATAGGGCATTGCTAGTTCTGAAATGTCTTGTTTTCTTTTTGCCAGCATCCACATGGTAAATGTTTTGAGTGTGCACTTCAATGTTTTGTGGATCAACTAAGTTATTTTGATGGACAACACAACATGAGTTTGATTTTAAGTACAGCTGTTAATATTAGAAATACTTGCATTAAGCTGCCCTACCATTGGAAACAATAAGTGATCCAGGAAATACATGCAAAACATTGTGTCAGTAATTTAGAAGTAATTGATTAATATATAAATTATAAATATAACGAAGTTACTGGATGGGGCGAGTTAAGCCCTTTAATATAAATTAGCTTCTCGGAGCTAAATTAGTTTTATTCTGGCAATGCGCTTGCGCAGAACAAGAAACACTTCCTGTTTCCATCCTCTTGCTGAAGACAGTTGTCACTAGATTATAACTAAATCTATCGAAATATCTGATAAATGTCTGATATTGTGAAGCACAGTGCTGGTATTAACAAAAACGAAGTGTCTACACGTCCGGCGCGCCGGACGTGTAGTGCACAAGATACACGTCCGGCGACTTGTCACGTGACCGCCGGACATGGCCGGACGGCTAGTAGTTTTTATAATTCCAAACGAAGTACGATTTAGTACATCTTGTCTGGTCTTGTGGTAGAGTGGTTGCTTGACGATAGGAAGGTTTGAGGATCTATACCGGGGATAGGGTCGTTTTTTTTCTTCCCTATTTAATTAAAATATTTTGTATATATTTATATTATCATGTTCCTCAGCAACAGTAGTTTCATGAGAAGTTTTTAAATGTTTTGTAGCAATTGAAATAATTTAAAATGAAATCTTTAACTTTTATTGGTTGCCACATTGGCCCCTAATTTATTTTTATGGATTACTGGTACACAAAAAATAACAAACTAAACAAAAATGTTTACAAGCCACTTTCACTTAAGTTTCTTTTTACTCAGTACATTACTTGGTAGAGAAATAGATTTTAAAATTAACAATAGTAATAGTTTTGAATTATTCGCAGTCACGTGACAAGGCTGACCGACAAGATATTTCTCGCCACTTTGTTACGGCGGTCATGTGACTTGGTCGCCGGACACATAGTGCGGGAGATAGACGTCCGGCGCGCCGGACGTGTAGACACTGCCTAACAAAAAAATACAACGAAGCTGTGACACCGCGTTGTTTTCCTCTCTCTTCATCTTTAGTGTTCTCGCATCTTTTTTTACCGGTAATAATTAATAATCTAAATGCAGTACTATGTAAAATCGAAATCAACACCATTTGGTGGTGCAGTCTATACTATACTAATGGTAGATCCAGTAAGATACCATAATAAAGGACAAATGAATTTTCAAATTTTTTTTTTTAAATTCATATTTTTTCCATAAAAAATATATTTTTAAAATTAATTTTTTAAAAATCTTGTCACACTGAGGCTACATTCATTTATTCATCCTAATGTGTGGATGGAATCAATGGGCTCTACCCATAGCAAATTATGATTAATTATGGCTTGGACGCTTTCGCGTTATTTACTTCTCACCGGTGTAAATATAATTAGGGACGCTGAATTTGTTTATCCAAATAACTTTCAACAACTTTAATCTCAAGTCACATTCAAAAAATTTTCTATGAACACTCATTTTTTTAAAGTTAACATAATAAACAACATAGCCTACTGTTATCAGTTATTTCATCCAAGAGTTTTTTCTTCAAATCTTTGTCATTTTTGTACTTATCAGTCCCAAGTAGAAATTTTAGCTGGGCGTGTTCTAAGTTGGGATTTTTCGCCAGTCCCTGTTCTTCGAGATTCTCTATCGGCATTGCTTTTTATTATGATGAAACCAGACTGGTTAAGAATGAAATACGAACAGAAGAAGAATCAGAGTAAATTTTATGTGTCCACTTCCAATGTTTGCACCACTTACTAGCACAACTTCCGGTCTCCAATGACTCGGTTTATTAGAAAGAAGTGGTTAACAAAATTGTCGATTACTTTTTTCTTATTATAAAATAAAAACTTAAATAAAGGTCCTTAAATTTTCCTTTAATTTGTAGGAATTAAGTTAATGGAATTCGAAAAGAAAAAAATGCTTTAATTAAGAATTATAAATTAAAATATTTAAAATTGTTCTTAAAAGCACTAATAATTTATGCCTAATAATAGGCTTAAGTGATAGACACATGAGAGTACGAGTATCTATGTTATAAATGTTGTGCCCCGCTTTAAGATCAGGGTGCTCGAACCCCCCAGTCCCCAGGGGCTGGGAGGTGGCAGGTAATAAAGGGGAGAGGTTGCAATCAGGTTAGCAAAAAAGGAAATGAGTAAAACAAAGTATATGAAAACCTGAAAAGGGAACGCAATATAACAACGAACGTGTCGTCAGCGAACAAACAACAGAAAAAACAGAATTATATATATTTAAAATTAGCCGAAAAGTGGTGTCCAAGAGGGCAGCAAAGGCACCAACGGCGTAGCGAGGGTGTTTGGCACCCGGGGACAAGATTCGCGCCCGGGGACAAGATCCATTTTAAAGCGCCCCTTTTTCTTTTTTTTCAACTCTCAAACCCGTTATTTTCATAAATAAAATAATAATAAAGCACATTTTGGCGCCCCTAACTAGCTGGCGCCCCGCCATCTGTCCCCCGCCCCTCCTCGCTACGCCTCTGAAAGGCACAATTCTTTAATTCTGTTTTTCTGTTGTTTTTTCGCTGACGAAGGCTTCCTGCCGACACGTTCGTTGTATTGTTGCGTTCCTTTTTCATATTTTGTTTTACTCATTTCCTTTTTGGGGACCTGGCAGGGCCGTACAGAGGCCGGGGACACCGAGTAAATCACTCGGGGCACCCATGAATGGAAACTGATACATTTGATACCATTATTTTGACATTTCAGAGGGCCCAAAATGTGGATTTCTTCAGGGTCCGAAAATCCCCTACACGACTATGGGAGATGGTATTTCAAGGGATGTGAGGAAAATCCATTTAGGAACAGATGAGCCATTGACTTACAAGTTATGATAAATGTTTCTATCTATATCTTTTTTTTATTATTAAAAAGTCAAAAGTTCTATATTCTAAGTTCTATATTCTAAGTTCTATATTCTGAGTTCTATATTCTAAGTTCTATATTCTAAGTTCTATATTCTAAGTTCTATATTCTAAGTTCTATATTCTAAGTTCTATATTCTAAGTTCTATATTCTAAGTTCTATATTCTAAGTTCTATATATCTTTATTATTAAATAAATAAATTGAAGTCACATTCCGCCCCTCCCCCCCCCTTTTTTTTTCTAATGAACTTTTGTGAGGGCTGCGAGGCTTATTGAAATGATTTTAAAGGGTGCGAGACTAGTATATATTCTAAGTTCTATATTCTAAGTTCTATATTCTAAGTTCTATATTCTAAGTTCTTTATATCTTTATTATTCAATAAATAAATTGAAGTCACATTCCGCCCCTCCCCCCCCCCTTTTTTTTTCTAATGAACTTTTGTGAGGGCTGCGAGGCTTATTGAAATGATTTTAAAGGGTGCGAGACTAGTATAAAAATACTTAGGGTGCAGAGCATAGAAAACCCTAGTCAAAATGGTGAAAATGCAAAGGCGAATACTCCAGGACGTGGAATCTTGTCTTCCCATTATATGATGTGTAGCATCTTCCTTTGACTCGTCTTGTGAATATTGCATTACTTCCTTATATGATCTTTTAGACTGACCTCGTTTCGCAAGCGTAATGGGGAAAAAGTACTATTGCCAGGTACACTTTAATTTTGTCTGAGCCCTGATGGCTCTCCTACTGAAGACATTGTTGGACAGTCTTTCGAATGTTGCGCGGGGGACAATGTGCTATAGAAAGGCTGCATCAGGGATGGCAAGGCAGACCATATATTGGCAGCAGTACATGCTCATCAGAAGTCTTGAACTAGGGAAGACCGTTCCTGCTACAGTGACAAACTGCACGTTGTCCCTTTTCCGGGTAATTAAATCACATCGACTCGATCTGTGAAATCGACTAGAATGATAACCTTGACGGACTTTAAAGTCCAGCCGTGATGGAATGAAGACCCTCGTAAATCCTGGGCTTGGACATTGTCCCAGCAAATCAAGTCCAGATGGCTTGTCCAACTGCTAGACGATATCAAGTCCAGATGGCTTGTCCAACTGCTAGACGATATCAAGTCCAGCTGGCTTGTCCAACTGCTAGACTATATCAAGTCCAGCTGGCTTGTCCAACTGCTAGACTATAACAGCAACGCTGACACAATTACTTCCTGTGCCACTCAAGCCAAAATGTCCATATAGCCCCTGCCAAAGAGTTTATCCTCTTCCAGAAGACGTTCCTCGTCAAGGGCCACGTGTGTCAAACTTTAAAGAAACCTTTTCAGCTTTTCTCCAACTTTAAGTTTCGATCAGAGCAGTAGGGTCCCCTCAAGGTGCAATAGGCAGGAAATGGAAGGTTGGAGCAGGCGATGTTAAGGGCACCTATTCTAGCCCCTTCCTCGTAGCATTAAGGTGAGCAGTGTGTTACTAAAGGCGCATTTTTTGGGACTTCAGTCAGCACCAGTGAAATATATCAGGGTGTGTAATAATATATTTAAAACAAGCTTGTTTATGTAATATATTAGCATACAGCATACGCCGAAATTAGAAGTACTGAAACCACCTTATTTTGAACGCATTATTGTTTTTTTTTCGCCCACTCCAACTTTTTCTCCACTTTTTAGGTAGGATATCTGTATATATATATATTATGTAAATTTAATGTATACTTATTTGTCTTTTTGTTGTACTGATGAAGGCGTGTGCCGAAACGTATACCTTTGTATTCTGTAAAATTATTATTAAAGCTTACCTTATATTGTTATATTGACACAAATTGTTGGTGTTTAATTAATCTTTTTGGAACGTGTACTTCCGTTTGTCAACTGTGCATAGCTCCAGCTGCCATGTGACCATAGAGGCGAAAATAATGATAAGTTGGGCAGTTGTTGGAAATAGATGTCTTCACGTAGGAACAGATATTCATAGTAGAGCAATATTTTCGCTCAACGTTAATGTACGTTAAGGGTGGCGGTTAAGTGGAAGGGAAACATGAAGAAAAAAAAATCTGTGTAGGAAGACCAGTTTCCAAAAAAAACTGCTCAACCAACATCCTTGACACATCATGGAAAACACATGTCGGCTGGGGCTATGCGCCATTGACGGCTGGGGCTATGCACCATTGACGGCTGGGGCTATGCACCATTGACGGCTGGGGCTATGCACCATTGACGGCTGGGGCTATGCACTATTGACGGCTGGGGCTATGCACCATTGATGGCTGGGGCTATGCACCATTGACGGCTGGGGCTATGCACCATTGACAACCGCATGTACGCGTTTAAGATGCAGGCAGTTTCCGTAGTTAATTTTGGTGCATACTGGATTCATGTGTATGAAAAACAAAATGCCCCTGGTACCCCACATGTCCATCGATCGTTTATTTTACATGTTTGACCCATGAGCAGATTGTAACATCGTCAACTCAATTTTAAAACCAGTAGTTGCAGAGAGCTTAACAAACATAAGAGGCGTATATTTCATCCGATTGCTTATCATCAGTTTATTCCAAAGATTCTCAGATTTCTGCGATTCCCCCCCCCTCCCCCCCCCCCCCCCCCGTCTACGTTCAGAATTTTCAATATCAGTCTTCCCACGAACAACAATTGCTTGGAACCAACTGGATAATGCCGCCGTGGACTCGACATCACTCGAGAGTTTCAAGGCTGCCCTGGCACCCGCTAGGAGCCGTTAGAATGGCCGCATCGTTTCCCAAACCGTTGCACATATGCCAGGACTTGGTTGCTGGAACGTTTGTCTATCAGAATCAGAATTTAATTCCCTACACCCCAGCTCGAATCACATGCAGAGAGCTAGCGTGAGAACCTTTGTTGACTTACGCCTTTGGCTGTGCCTTACAGCTTTACAACTCCCACCAACTATGTTGCATAACTTTTCTGTGCGTTGCACAGCTGCCTGTCATGTTGTATAGGGCGGTGATTATGTAGTGCAACCTTCATTATGCTGTACAGCCGGTTCACGTATATGCCATTCTGCTGCACGGCTGTCATTTATATCACACACTCTTGTCTGCGTATCACATTGCTTAAAATTATTATCTCTATCACGTGTACGTCTCAGTTATAATCCTCCATGAGCTTCAGTTCCCCAGGCGGGCCGCGACCTAACGGGTGCTTCAAGTTTCCCCTGTCAAGATGATGGTATGTGATAACAAAACGATGATAGACGAGGTACCCGTCCAGTGTCAGACGAGCTACCCGTCCAGTGTCAGACGAGGTACCCGTCCAGTGTCAGACGAGGTACCCGTCCAGTGTCAGACGAGGTACCCGTCCAGTGTCAGACGAGGTACCCGTCCAGTGTCAGACGAGATACCCGTCCAGTGTCAGACGAGGTACCCGTCCAGTGTCAGACGAGGTACCCGTCCAGTGTCGGCCATGGTGTTGTTTTAACACGACTATTACGCTAAATCGTTTGGGTTTGGTTTCTTTACCTCCGCGTCACATAACGTTAGCGGAAGCCAGTCACCACACCACCCATTATTTATTTAAGCTGGTTCCAAATTTTTTGTGTGGATGATTTCGGGTGGGGTCGAATGATCTATTTCAAGGAGGAAATACAAAGTTGTTCTGTGAGAAATCACAAAATATGTAACGTCATGCATCCGTCTTTTTGTGAGTTTGTTTGTGAGTTGGATTGTTTGTTTGTTTGTTTGTTTGTTTGTTTGTTTGTTTTTTTGTTGTTGTTGTTGTGGACGAGTAACCCTGCCACAACATCCGTCACGTGACATCACCCTGTGCAGCAAAGGTCGGAGTCGAATATCTCTTGTAGGAGTCGGGGGGTACTATTTAAAACAAATTGTAAAATATTCAACATAGACACCCTCATGTAGTT